CTGAATTTTAGATAGATTCTTCTGACCGCTGTGAGGAAATGAATGCACAGGGAGGAGAAAGAAGGGCAGGGGCAGGTGAAAGACTGAAAGGGGGCCATTACACTCCTCCAAGCATGAAAGAATAAGGGCCTGAGTGTGGTGCTGTTTGCAGAAATGGGGAGAAGGATATGGATTTGAGAAGTACCCATGGTTATCAAGTATGATTATTTTCGTATTTTAAAATGTGTACAATCACTCCAGGATTCTATGAAATTTTGGTTTATGGTTACAACTTGGGCAGTATGGTGCTAAAATATCACAGAGTCAGTCTCAGGGATAAATAAATCTATTTCTTTATGAGTTGAACTCAGACAAGTAGGGCTCTCCCAGTTTTCAATACCTCATGGAAAAGAGATTCAGTTTCTTCTCACATATCTATCACTCTCAAAAAGTCCTAAAAACTCTTGCTTAAATGCGTCATCCTGCCTCTAGCCCTCACAGTGGAACCAGGGAACAAGCTGTTCCCTTTTCTCCATGCTAGCTTGTCTCAGAGCTAGAAATCTACCAAGAAATTCTTTCTAGGGTTTCCCTGGGGGTGCAGGGTGTTAAGTTTCAGCACTCTCAAGCTATCACCAGCCACTGTGGCAGGTGTTAGATTCCCCCACCAGGGAGCTGACCACATGGTGCAGCAGACCTCTACTGTCTTGCTTGCAGCTCCCCTCTGCAGTGCATTTCAGTGGATCCACCTGTTCTGCTGCCCACTGTGTCTCTGGTGAATCCTCTCACCCCCTGCACCTCTGGCCTATACCCCTGTTCTTGTATGTGAAAATAAATAAAAATAATCTTTAAAAAAAAAGAAATTATTTCTAGTGTTTACTTCTCTCCTGCATATTTGATTATTTCTTTTGTTAGAACTCAGACTCAAATTATAGCACTGGCATCATCTCCATGCTCCATCTCTTACAACCTTTCTCCATAATCACTCTTTTCTGTGAAGAGAATATCCTCCTGAAACACTAATACAAGTCCACAAATATGAAGCAGAGAGGCTTTATGTCCCGTAGAACTCATTACAATTTAAAGAACAGGCATTTCAATATTCTAATAATATAAAATTGTGGGCAGTTTATTTATCTATCACACCTGGAGGTTATTTTGGAGGGTACTCATTTTGCTGAGCAGCAAAATCCACTAATGACATTGGCAAGAGGGAATTAATTTTTAATAAGAAGAAACTAGGAGAAGATGGAAATATGATGATGGTTGAAAACAAGAGATGAGTAGGATAATAGGAGATTAGACATGTGACTTGGGACCACCTTCTAAGAGGAACTGAGTACCAGTTTAATCAATATGACAGTCAAAGCCCACAATATGAGTATTCTTAGCCTCTCAGTCTTTCTTATCCTCTAGGAAGGACACCCCTGTCATTGATACCTGGGGCTGCTAGCATCTGTACAGGTCACCATAATGAGGGGACTGACTCAAAGGAGTGGAAACAAGGACAGGAATTTCTACCTGCAGAAGAGAAAAGGAATATATACATCTAAGATATGAAGGGAGAAACAGGGTGAAAAAGCAAATTCAAGCTTACCAGAAAGTTTGAGATCTTTGGAGAGAAAATAGCAGCAACAGTTATGCTATAAGGTGTGAAATAAAGAGCAGGGAAGAGAAATTTAAGATGTTTTGCTCTGTGCTTAATATGCAAATTCCTTTAGCATTCTCCCAGACACCATATTAAAAATTGAAATTGTTTTTTAATTCTTTTTGGCTAATGGATATGTCTCTTTGAATGTGAGATCATGCTGAAATTGGCCACAAAGCAGTCAAGTTCATAAAAGTTACATTTGGGGAGTACTGTCTGGGATTGCACCTAGGCTGTGCCTATCAACTGTACTTCATTTTGATGATCACTCTAGATCTGAGTTAAGAGAGTATCTTCATGACTGTTGGATTTACAGTGCAAAAGTGTACCTTCTGTATAAAATAGAGACTGGAGATAACTCTGACTGGGCACCAGACAGAAAAACAGCAGAGACTAGTAATCACCACAATTTCAGTGGGACCGTGATGTTTGGAATTAGGTGCACCTAGTACAGAAACCTGTCTGTATGCAGCACAGAGCCTCTTCCCTTCATTGGCTGGTGAGACTGGGATAAAGGAAATAGAACAACTAAGAGGATTCCCAGAAGTTAAGGGAAATGTAGGAAGCAGAAGAGGAATACGTAGGGGTTGTGGTATATTTGTCATGTGTGAATGCTCTGGTGATATGGGCAAGGTACCTGTTTATCTATTTTTCTTGGGAATGGACCCATTCAATAAACCCTAGGACACTGAAGTTCAGTGGGCCCAATCCTATAACCCAGTCAGCTGTCTGTCTCTGGTTTCCTTTCTGCATCTGTTTGCCTTATTATTCTGGAACTCAACACTTCTATTTATTTTTCCTTGTCTAATTTTCACACAGAATACCCGAACTCATCTATCCTGATGAAATACACTAATCGTCAACTCTTTATATTTTCAAGTCTTACTGCTGCTCAGTTCTCCTCCTCCCGCCCCCAATTCCTACCTATCCTTGGCTTTCAAATGTCTGACCTGGAACTTGACTGGATCACCCACACCCCTTGATCTTTGCATCTGTCTCCCATGTTCTTTTGTGCTTCTCCAGTAGTTTCTCCTCCCTCAAGGCTCAGACCCCTACTCTCTCAGCAGATCTCATGGCCAGTGCCTCTGAGTAGCATGATGTAATCTTAAACTGAAAGTCTTGACAAACATGGTATCCTCAACAATAGCGGTAAAGGACCTTGTATGATGGCATAACCCAACTCCTACTGGATGGGGGGTTATGCTTAATGCAAGGCTAAAGCTGCATTGGGAGACCTTATACTGGGGACAGTGTCACTTCTTATAGGGAAAAAAAAAACTGGTGAGATGAAATCATCTGTGTGAAGTGCTGGTCATGACATGTGAAGTAAAAGGTCTGGGGAAAAAAGTCGCAAAGTCATAATAGTCATTTCTGACTGCAGCACATGTCTCCTGTGGAGGATGAACAGCAGAACTGAACCTATAATCTGTGAGAACATGTTTGCTGTAGTGTGACCTACGCTGCTTACACTCAGCTATTGGTTGTGTGTGTGTGTGTGTGTGTGTGTATCTTGTCTCTGTTTCTAGTTTTCCTGGAAGCAGTTTCTAGTTTTCCTATCAGGGAAAAGCCTCCCTGTTTCTACCCGAGTTAGGAATTATCTGGGGGCACACGGCAGAGGGGCTTGATAACCAAGGTGAGAACGCACAGGTTTGTGGAATGAAGGAAGGAAGGAAGAACTGAGAAAGCAAATAGAATTGAATAATTTGTTTTAGAGCACAATATTATAATGTTTTTAATCTGTTCATATATTTGTTTTAGGAAATAGACTTCCTAGGGGATGCATAATTCTTTATTATATCAGCAATACCTTGGACTATTTAAACAGTCTTCTGCTGGGAATTTAGGATATTTCTTTTTGTTGCTTTTTTTAAAAAAATATTTCTATTTTAAGCAGTAAGACAGGTATAAGCCACAAAAAAGTGCTACAAAAGTCTTTAGTGCTACGAAAGTCTCTCTGGTCTAGCCCCACTGTTCATCAGAAGAGCTTACAACCAGGGAAACACTGAGGTAATACATTGCTATTGTTAAAGCATTAGTGTACACTCACCCATAGCTAGCACTTCCCCATCTTAAAGTGATATGTTTGTTTCTGCTCCCCAGATTCATTGCTTCTTATGAAGTTCATTTTTGGTTGCTTATCACTTGACTTCTCTGATATGTAGGGTCATTATTAGTAAGTATGCTGCTGCTTAGGTTTTATTTGCTTCTCAGTCTGAAGACATCTGCAAATATGTTAAATCAGCTTTTCTTCATCTGCTGCCCACTCACATCACCCTCCAGTAGGTAAAGGAATTGTCACAAAGGTTGGGACACAGTGTATATGTTCATGGACACTGAGTCTGAGCATGGGAAATCTTCACACACCCCTCCCACCCATCCCTTTCTGGCATTGTCAACAGTTAACCCTTCCACCTGTGAGCTAATACAGTGTTAGAATTTAACATATTATAGATTATCCTGTCCAACCTCTTAATAGATCAGGTAAATGATTTAGTCAAGGTCTCTGAATTAACATGTGGCAGAAACAAATTGAATCCCGACCTTCTGCCACTGTGTGGGCCGGAGGGTTCTGGATAAGGGAATAGGACATAGTAGATCTCGCTAAAGTATTCATTCTACAATTGCCTTGCGCATCTACTTACTACGTGCCAGGCACTATTTTAGATACTGGGGATTCCGTGATGGAGGGCACGGAGGAGAAAAAAAATCTCTTTTCCTATGGAACTTTCATTCTTAAAATAACTGCTTTGCGTCCCCACCCTGGAAAAGACCCATCGCCCTTTCCTGGGTAGCAGGAATTACGTCTTATATGGGAGGGGATTCCATCTTTTGTCAGCTCCTGTGTTTGCTACAGATGGGCTGATTTACTGCAGAAACAGCAGGAGAGGCGACAGCCTGGGCGGCGCGGGATCCTCGCCCGCCTCTGCACTGTAAGGCGGGGCGGGGTCGGTTCCCGGGCTGCGCGGGCCCCACATCAAATCTAGGACTGTTAGCGTCGGCCTCGCTACTCTCTTTACTTCCTTCGGAGACCTGGAGGACAGAGAAGCTGGACCCGGCTCTAACACCACGCTCCTAGAAAGGCATGAGGGCTGTTGAACATCCTTCCAAGGCAGCAGCGTTCAGGGTCCAGCAACCAGACTGGGGCGCCACGCTCTCTCCCGGAGCAGGGGGTTCATGCAGCAAATCGCTCTTCTACTTCCCTAACGGACACTGCGGCCACCCGTTCTTTCCAGCTTGAGCCGGGGCTGCTGCGGAGTCCTTTCCCCTCCCGCCCCACCCTCCAGGTCAGGCTCCAAAAGCCCTCCGCAGCTTCGTTACCATCTCCCATTTCGCCGCCACTTCCTGGTTGCCATGGAGACACACGTCATTTACGTACCGTGCGTCGCCTTGGAAACAGAGGAGCATCCTCAGACCGGCTGGGAGACCCGCCCCTGACGCTCCAACCACATTCGCGGGTTCTGCGGGTTCATGGCCGCGGGGAGTCCGGAGCCCGCCGCGCTGCTCGCCGCAGCCTCCGCCCCGGCCCTTCCACCCGCGCTTTTGTGACCCAGGGAGCCGCCTGGCACTGGCCGCCGGGGGCGCCCGGGGCGGCGCTGACAAGGGCGCAATTCAGGAGGCCAGGCAGGGCAGGGCTCTTTCGCCCCGGACGGGCCGGAGTCGCCCGCCCGGGACTGTCGTCGGGTCCTTGCCTGGCCGACTCTCCGCCTCCCCAGCGCTGCCTCGCGGGACTGGCCTCGCGTCTCTCCCCGGCCCTCTCCGGAGCCGCCGGTGCGCTCCGCTCCTACTCGCCCCTCCCGGGACCGCTCCCCCTTCGCGCACCCTCCCCCACCCCGGAGGCCGGACTGGACCCGACCCAGCGCCGCCAGTGCCCGCTTCTGCCGCTCAATGGAGGACGGTCTGCTGGAGATCATGACTAAGGACGGCGGCGACATGCCGGCACCCCTGGAGGTGTCCACTGTGCCGGCAGTGGGGGACGTGATCTCCGGGGAGTACAACGGCGGCATGAAGGAACTGATGGAGCACCTGAAAGCCCAACTGCAGGCCCTGTTTGAGGACGTGCGAGCCATGCGGGGGGCCCTGGACGAGCAGGCCTCGCACATCCAGGTGCTCTCGGACGACGTGTGCGCCAACCAGCGGGCCATCGTCTCCATGTGCCAGATTATGACCGCCGCGCCCCGCCAGGGCGGCCTGGGCGTGGTCGGAGGTAAGGGGAGGTTCCCCGACGCCCCCCAGGAGCCGGAGACCCTTTCGTCTGACAGCGGCTTGCTGGGTCGCGATCCTGAGGACGAGGAGGAGGACGATGAAGAAAAGGAGATGCCCGGCTCCGCCACACCCACCAGTCACCGTGAGCGCCCGCAGAGCCCCTGTGCTGGTCTCCTTTCGGCGGACGGACCACTTGTGGAGCCCCTCGATCTGCCCGACATCACCTTGCTGCAGCTGGAAGGCGAAGCCTCCCTGTGAGAGGACTCCAAGGGGCACTGCTTTCCCGGGGAGACTTCGGGTTTCCAAGTGCATGACGCGAGGGGACTGAACGGCGGCGGTGCAGCAGGCTTCACTCCGACCGCAGCTCCAGTGGGTCAGGCAGAGAGAGACTCCCTCCGGAAAGACTTTATAGGGCAAAGCACTCTGGGAGCATCGAGAATTCTTTCTGCCTAACCAAGCGAGACAACGACCTGCAGAAAGGTGAGGTTCCGGGAGAGAAAGCACCCTTCTCTGGACTGCCCTTCATCCCTGCCCTGCCCTTTCCCCTTCCCCAGCCAACAGGAGAACACCCCTGAATTATGTAAATAAAATTCTGCTTTTTCTATTCTGAAAAAGGACTTATCTAGGACTGTGACAAATAATCTCTAATAATTTGCTTAGAAATTAATGCACTGGGGTTACTCTGTTCTGGCAACAGAAAATATACCCTTCTGCTGAAATCCAAGATATTCAGCGCTCTGCAGAAGCCTCTCCCCCTTCACAGATCTCTGCGGCTGCTGATTGGTAAAGGAAGCTTGAGGAGGGAACTGCAGCACTAGGAATCTGGGTGAATGAGGTTCCTAGGGCCCCTGGGCTGGGAGGAGCTGGCTCTCAATGTGCATGAAGACTTAATAGCTCAACCTCTAGGATTTTGCATGCAGAGCGGATCCTGCCTTGTCACTGACTTCATCTGGGATTGCTTTATCCACTCACTGGGGCTTAGAGAACAAAAAGCCCAGTTCACAGGCAGAGACTTGGGGGTACGCAGCAAAAGTCCAGATGTAGGGGACCTTTGAGGGACTCTTGGCGGCAGGTAAAAACTGTCTCCTGGCTATTCCCTCTCAACTTCAGCTCCTCCTGTCAATACGTCCCTGCCCACTGCCTCTCGCTGTTAACTCCATTATGTCTTGTGTGTGTTATGTGTGTCAACTTGTGTAGTAGTGTGTGAGCCCTGAGGGGCAGGGCTGTGGCTCTGGTGTTAGGTTCAGTGGGCTACAAGCCCTACTGTTAGTCCCAGGTTATTGTGGCGCTTTCCCCTTTCCTTTTCTCTTTTCCCTTCCAACCAGGGCGTGGAGCATGTGGCTGTCCTGAGGTTCTTAACTGATGTGCCTCCCTTCCATCTCCTTGAGTGGTGACTTTGTGTGCCCTTCCTCCTTCTCTGTGTATTCCTTCTCAATGCTTTCCTTGGTGTTAACCTTAATAAAAAGGCATCATCTCCCCTCCTTGCTGACTGGTACAAGGGGGTTGTCAGGGTGGGGCTTCTGGGCCCACTACACAGACTAAGAATTAGTGGGAACTGCAGGGTCCTTGCCTTCCCTCCTCTCTCCTCACCTCCAAGGAATTGAGTGTCCCTGCTCTGGTCAGGATAGTCATTGCCAACTCTACCTACTTTCCCTTCTGTCGTGGGTCTTGACATCAAACTGGACAGGGGAAGGAGAGGGTATGGGTTGAGACTTCCAAACTAATGAGGGTTTTTAGTAGCCCAAACTCCCACTGTTCAAGAGATTTCTTTATAATGTCAACCTTGGTCCCTGGGAGGTGATTTCCAAATCTATGTCCTGGAATCGCAGGTATGCCACCTGTTCCATGGAAAGGGGAGTGTAGTTCAAGAGGGGTTGCCTGGGATTTTTGGGAGTAGAGTGACACATCACAAAGGAAACCACAATAACTACCCCCAGGATCTAGTGGAGAATGCCTGTATGGTAAAGTGTTCCCCAGGGAGCTTAGGCTGATTACAGCTTTAGTCTGTTCCCCTGGCAGTCCTGAACAAAATGAGTATGTGTATGCAGTGTGTGCTTGTGTGCACGCGCACGCGCACGTGCTCTTTTCTCAGAGAGGCAGAAAGAGCACTAGAGTCACAGAATTGGATATGAAACATTGAATGACTGCTTGACACTTGATTTCCTGCTTGAAACTTAGTTTCTGCATGTGTAAAATGGGTTCAAAAAGTTGGGAAGAAAAATACCTAAGATTCCTAGGCGGTCTTGTGTGTTAGTTTCCATATAGCTCTTTTGGGATGTGGGGCGGGGGTGGAGGTTATGGTGGTAACTGGCTCCCTTGGGAAAACAAAACTACTTTGGGAAGGTTCTAAAAGTTCTCTTTCTATATAATTTCCCCATCTCTAAAGAACTTTTATCCTCTAGGATAGAATTAAGTGAAGGGGGTGAGAAAATTCCCAAGTTGACATGGACCTTTTCATCATATGTCACACAGTTAGGAGTCAATGGTGATAGGATGACCAGAGAAAACCTTGAGTTGTGCAATGCCTGGGAAATGTGCACTGGGGTCCTTGAGGACAGTTTGAGTGTATTAGTAAGGAAGTGTCCTTGATAGCAGGGAGTTGGGTTCCTGCATAGTCCTAGCCTTCAATACCAGTAACAACCATTTATTGATCATTTACTGGGTGCCAGGCAATGTGCCCAATTTTATCTCCCAACACCTGTATAAAGTAGGCACTATTCCTGTTTTCACTTAACATTTGCACAAACTCCAAGACTTGCTCAAGGTCACACAGCTAGTACCTGGCAGAACTAGGACTTAAACCATGTTTTCTGACTTCAAGATCCCTAGATTGGAAACATTCTTTTAATTATTCTATTATTTGGATCTTCAAAGAATGAGATCTCTTAGCTCACTAGTCAAGAGTCTAAAAGGTCATCAAAAGGAAACACATTAGTTTTAGTCACTTCATCTCAGTTGGAAGAAGAAATTGAGGTTCATATTTTTGTTAGTGACCCTTCTTAGAGTCCAGTGAATGATAATACAATGTCACCAAGAAGATGCCCTTCTGGACCTTTTTCTTGAGAGGAAGAAGCTGTAGTTAAATATTCCCTGATATGACTCCATCTTCATGCCTCTTTTCTGTTCCCTGTAGCTCAGATTTTGCAGTCTGACCTGAATCCTGAGGCAGCGTAGTCCCTTAGCTTCGTAGAGACTTTTAACCGTTGACTCCATTTCAGTTCCTCTTCCTATACCACTGTCTCAAATGTGCCATTGGGACTAACCCCTTAGTCTAGGCTTTCCTAGAAATTCTCTATTGTCCCCCACCAGCAAGTAGATAAAAATCTCTCCAGAAAAAGCAATTCTTCAGCCTCCTTCAGTCACCTGCACCAGCATCTCACAGGGATCCAGAGCAGATTGGTTTCCAGCCTCCTGATTTCTCCCCATTTCTCCCTCTCCCTCTTGCATTTCTCCTTTGAGTTGTTCCTCCTGAGTGAGCTTCAGGGTGAGCTTCCTCACCTGGGACTCATGGACAGAGGTTGCTATTAAACTTGAGGGGGCCACAGTCCCTTGAAATTGAATCCCAAAACATGTAAGTATGTTGAGTCTGAAGATCCATTGTTTCAAGTTAATTCTCAAAGGTAAGAATCATATAAAAAGGTAAGAATCACTGAGCCAAAGGGTAATGAGAATTTTTTTAAATTTTATATATATTTTACACCATTCTTCCTTTTTATACAATGTATGCTTTCTCCTCTCAGGTGTATCCCCCATAAAATTCCCACCATCAATTTACCTGTGCACCATCACCATAGTCCCTTGTGCTCTTCTCTCCCCTGTTTTTTTTTTTTTTTAAAGATTTATTTATTTATTTGTACAAGCACTGGGTACAGTCAGAAGCACGGGAGGGTGAGAGAATTCACCAGAGCCAGAGCGGGGAGCAGAGCAGGCAGAAGGACCTAAGTACACTGCTGAGGGGAGCAGCAGGCGAGGCAGGAGAGGTCTGCGTGCCATGTGGGACCCTCCCTGGTGGCCGGGGTTTGAACCGGCGCTGCAGAGGCTGCAGGCAGCTTTGCTGCCCAGCACTCAACCCCTGCGCCACTGGGGAGGCCCCCCTCCCCTGTTTTGATACCTCTCCCTCCCCACTCCCCTGCAGAATGTCTCTGATTTATAGTTGCCTGTTAATTTTGTTTTTTAATTTATTATATATTTTTCCCGATCCCTTATTTGATTCCCCTTCATTCCTCCTTTAAGTGAAATCATCGATATTTTTCTTCTTTCTGGTTTATTTCACTGAGGATAATCCCTTCCAGCTCCATCTATGTTGCTGCGAATGGCATGTTTATCTTTTTTGATTGCTGAATAGTATTCCATTGTGTATATGTACCACATCTTCTTGATCCAGTCATCTGTTGCTCAGCATTAGGGTTGTTTCTATATCTTACCTATTGTAAATAGTGCTGCAATAAACATAGGGGTGCAGGTGTCCTTTTGAATTAATGTTTTGTGTCCTTTGGGTAGATTCCTAGGAGTGGAATTGCTGGGTCATATGGAAGCTCATATTTGGTAGTTTGAGGAACCTCCATACAGTTTTCCATAGTGGTTGGACCAGTTTGCATTCCCACCAGCAGTGTAGGAGTTCCTTTTTCTCCACATCCTAGCCAACATTTGTTGTTACTTTTTTTAAATATGTGCCATTCTCACTGGTATCTCATTGTGGTTTTGATTTGCATTTCCCTGAGGTAATGAGACTTTTTAACTTGAAAAATATCAAAGAAGAAATGTCCCTGCTGGAACTTATACTCCTAGTACCCCTGTCTTTTGAGGCTTCCAGAGTATTTTTTTTTAAGATTTATTTATTTATGCATACAAGAACTGGGGTACAGACCAGAGGTGTGGGTGGGTGAGAGGATTCACCAGAGACAGAGTGGGGAGCAGAACAGGCAGGCTGACTGAAATACACCGCTGAGGGAAGCAGTGGGTGAAACAGGAGAGGTCTGCTGTGCCACGTGTGTAGCTCCCTGGCAGGCGGGGGATCGAACTTGTACTACAGAGGCTGTGGATAGCTTCACAGTGCTGTGCTTAACCACTTGCTCCACTAGGGAGCCCCTCCAGGGTAACTTCCACCACCAATTCAATATAAGAATTGAAATCTTCATATAAATCTGATTACTTACCATCATATTCAACAACTTCAAATTATGCTGAAACCCATTATACGCTAAGAATCCTGTCTCCTATTACTTCCAAGTCTTCTAGTACTTAGAGTTTGCTATAGCCTTCAGATGTTTAGGGGTGAGAAGATGGACCCCCTGCCCCATAGATTTGTATATCCACTGTGTAACTTTTGCAGTTTCTGGCACTCCTGTCTATCACTGATCTATGGGAAATATCTCAGGGTTAGTTCTTGATCTCAAAACGAACACACACACAATTTCATAGAAATAAGCTACAACTTTAGTCTGTTGCAATTAAAATCTTTTCTAGAGAAATTACTTCTCAAGGACATTGCTGACTGGCCTGACCTGAGTATCATCACAGATTATAGTTTCTATTTGACGTGTGTAATGAAATGACTCACCTAGTTTTCCCAGAACTAAGGGATAGTTCTTTCCCAACTATATTTAAGTACATATTTTTCAAGTCAGAAAACTGCTGACACCTTTGATAAAGCATTTTACCCATCTGCATTTCTAAGAATAGAGAGCCAGACAAGATAGTCTACAAAGTAAGAAATGATAAATACAACAGGAATATTCTTGAATCCTTTATCCCAACTACCATCTTTCCCTCTCCCCCATTTCTACATTGTCCCCAGAAGGTGATTTCCCTCAGAAAAGCAGCCTTTCTGCTTGGAAGCACTATACTTATACAAGGAACACTGTTCTCTAAATAGCGGTGCCATCTGGTGAGGAATAGCGACACTACAAGGACCCTCAACTGTGAATTTATGCCTTTTAATTCAGCAAGCACAGCTGAGGGCCTCACTCTCTGCCAAATAGTGGGTGGCAGGGATAGAAGAGGAAACTGAATAATTAGAAGTTATTTGAAGAATAGAAATATCAATTGCAATAAATTCCTGGTTGGTCTTCCCCTGCCTCTCACACACCCATGAACCTGAAGATTAATCTTCCTAAACCACAGCTGTAAACATTTATTCACAGAAATCTGCGTTATATCCCCCAAATTTCCTGAATTATGGACAAAATCTTGTAGTTGTTGGGAGTCAAGCTCCTCCTAATAAGGCCCCGGCATACTTTTTAACCCATATATTTCTTTTTTTTTTTTTAAATCTTTTTTTTTTTTTTGCATGTTTATTTATTTATTTATTTGTTTGTTTGTTTTGTTTATACATGCACTGGGTACAGTCAGAAGCGCGGGAGGGTGAGAGAATTCACCAGAGCCAGAGCGGGGAGCAGAGCAGGCAGAAGGACCGAAGTACACTGCTGAGGGGAGCAGCTGGCGGCAGGAGAGGTCTGCGCGCCATGTGGGACCCTCCCCCGGTGGCCGGGGA